TTAGCTATTTATCAGATAATGCACGAGATAAGAGTGAATGGACTATTGACATTGGTTCTGCTTGATATTTACATTAAAGGTTCTTTCGTGTGTTTAAATCTATCATCTAAGGAACTATGTACATTGATAGGCGTAGATCCAAAATTGAGACCTGGCATTAATTTGTCATATGCTATTGACACTTATGAAAAGATGAAACTTTTAACCTTGTATGCTTTCAAGAATTCCGCTATGTGCAATGTGTAGCTACAGTTATCCGAAGAAAATAATTTTGAAAAGATATATGTGAGCGATATCGTAGTTTTTTGTTTTAACTGAACAATAAGAACCTGTCGTTGAAGTAAACTTATGTAAAAGTGGAACTTAGTATTGCCTGGTGCCCCAAAGAGGCGCCAACGAACTACTAATAATCCACTTTGCAAGCATGCTCCAGACTGACTTCATAAAAGATCAGCGTATTGGCTAGATATTTTGAAGAATATTGCACAAAAATTTTCCTAATGAGATCCTTGAAGAAAACTCTAATTTTCCAGCTACTAAATCAATTTGAGAAAATTAGAAATTATTCATCAGAAAACTCATGCTCGAAAATTCTTGTTGATAATTCTAATGCTTCAGATGTAATGAATTTCGAAATAAGTTAATGCTTAGCCTGATTGAATTTAAATATAAAGGGATAGTGGTATGGAGAAATGGGGTTAGGCATGGCAGCAGCTAGTCGCGAGTGGCGCCCCAGAAGGGCGTCGACGAGCGATTAGCTGCTGCACTGAGTTATCTGCAGAAGTGCTGCTTCAATGTATCGGGATTCCATTAAATAAGTGTTAATAGTCTGGATCTAATTGACCTTGATAAGGAATATCAAATACAAAAAGCTGAAAAAACTATGTCAAGTCAAGGATGAGAAACTGTTTTTTGTAAAACACGATCTGAAAGGAGTGTTGAAGTGTTTAGGGGTAGAAATTTGCGTTCCCTTCCCCTCCCCCCCCCCCTCTCCCACACAGACCGTGACAGACATTTTAATTCATTAATTATTTATTATGTATTTAACTAATTATCCATTACAGACTGTGACAGACATCGTAATTAATTAATTAACTGTTATTTAGTTAATTAATTACCCATCACAGATCGTGACAGACAGGCTTTGGACCTGTCACAGACCGTGACAGACAGAGCTTTGGACTCATCACAGACCGTGACAGACAGAGTCGGGAGGCATTATAGATTGTGACAGAAGACTTCAAGCAAATGTCAGAGATGATGCATAAGTAACATATGATTGGAGCATACATGGAGTATTATCCTGTTGTTGAAAGTCTATAATGCATTCCATTATGAAGGAATGTACCCCAATATGCATAAAAAACAACGGCTTGTAGAACATCGGGTATAGCAGCTACATCGTGTTTCACATTTTTAATTCTGCAAGGGATTGCGCTAACAGCTTTTTGTGTTTGGACACAATATCTGAATAATTCATCAGACAGAAAACATTACTGAAAGAATTAATATTTGCTCTATTGAGAGTTGACATGAATGACATACAAGAGTGTTTCTCTTGGTATATATTCTTCTTTGTATTAATTGAAGAAGCTGAATGTATACTGATGGGTGTGACGGCGCGTTAGGGATTTTCATTTTTTCATATTGTGACACCTGTAGCTTCTCAAAAGTAAAATCAAGCTTGCTAAAATTTGTTGTAATAAATAGAGATGGCTGAGACCTATTACCAGTAAAAATTTTATCCATTACGCTCTCACCATACACTCTAAAAAAAAAGGTTTTGTCGGAAACCTATAGAGGGTTTCCGGGTTTGTCACTATATGAAACCCTTTATCGGTTTCCGAGAAAGGGTTTCCAAGCTCTCGGAAACCTTCAAAAGCAATGAAAAAAGCTCACGATCTCGGAAACCTTCAAAAGCAATGAAAAAAGCTCACGATCTCGGAAACCTATTGAAGGTTTTCGAGACTTCGAAAATCTTCAATCGGTTTCCGGCAGCTACGCACTATCCTTATTCTATCCCCTTATTCTAATCCCTTAATCTATCCCCTTATTCTATCCTCTTATTCTAATTCCTTAATCGATCCCCTTATTCTAAGCCCTTAATCTATCCTCTTATTCTAATCTCTTATTCTAACCGCTTAATCTATCCCCTTATGTT